TGAGTTTGAATTTGTCACTAACCATGTCTTGTGATTACGGTTTTGACAAACTCACAAGGATAGGAACACATACACCATAAAATCTACGTGTCATAAGGTTTCTCTCCGATTCATGAAAATGATGGTGAGGAAACGCTTTCACTAATTAGATTTTAAAGGATTAGAGTTAGCAGTTGTGATAGTTGCATTCTCAGATTCAATTATGATTACGGAATCCCTTTTCATAATTCGAATTGTGAGAAATGGAAAAAGGTCTAAACATTAGAGACTTGTTGCTATAAGTTCTTAAATTGTGTAGACACACATGTGAGCTGTCTAAGGAAAGGTGTATGGGTTTGAGAAGCTTAGATAAAGTTTTATGAAAGCATCTTGTATCAGAAATCTGAACTTTGGTAATGAAAGTCAATAAAGTATTGATTTCTAGAAGTTCTGCTGATTTTTGAGTACATGTCAAAGCTAGTAGGAGCATAAGTGTTATGCTAGTAAGGATATAATTATTATGCGAGTGGGAGAATAATTAATTATGGTAAATATTGCAAGTTAGCAATGTTAATTATAGAAAACAAAAGTTTCAATTCGTGAAGTTCCAGGGGTTGAAAAAGTTGTTTTGCTATAATTAAGGGAGAGAGGAATTCATACTTCATTTCAAATCGAAAAGCTTAGATTGTGAGATTTTAATCAAATTTAGTCATGATTACATTATAGGCATTCTAAAATTCGATTTTGATTACGGAATCATTCTTCATAATTCGAATTATGGGAACATGGCAAATAAAAATATTGTAGCAAAAGACTGGTCAACTATCACGTCTTTATGTTGGACATTATCAATCGTATCCCATATGCTTCGAGTATAGGATCGATTGCATATGCTATAATATTCTCGTGTTCTAATTTTTCCAAATGCCTAGGGCATTTAGAGGGAAAAAGGAATAGAACCGGATATGACTAAAGTGGATTAAACAACTGTTAAGGACAATCTAAGGTTCAGCAATGATTGCTCGCTTGTAGTTGGAAGTATAAAAATGGATGGACCATATTGACATATTCTGAAAAGAGGCGGCTCTTGTTCATAAGTGATAGTCAAAATGGGAATATGGAAATGTTTTCCATATTGGGAGTTGGATATTAAGAATCTATGAGAAAGTTAGAAACTTTTATTCAAGAAAGATGTTCAAAGGAATGTACTTTGAACTTGAGACTTCATTTCCTTGGAATTGTCTTGTAACAATTTCCAGTGGAATGTATTGTAATATCGTTGGTCAAGTTTTTGTGACTCTTGGTACCTAGACATTACAAAAAAATATTGCATAATAGTGGAGAATCTAACACATTCGAGCTTGGAATTATTACACTTGCAATATAGATTTAGGATTGTGAAATGAGCATCATTGGAATCATGTTCAATTGATCTATTTCACAAAGTAAGGATCATAGACAAACATAGTGTGCATACTTGGGGTATGGCATAAATATTGTTTGGAAAAACATAGTGTGCATGCTTGGATCATGGGACAACTATTGTTTTAATTCAAGTATTAAGTTGATACATCGAAAAATTATACAATGAATAATGTGTAATCAATATGGTAATTAAATAAAAGGTATTATATTTATATTCATAAGTTCTGAGACCATATTGGATTCGATTATTCTTGTGTTTCACTTTGCATGTTTTGACTTCCTGAATAACTAGGTTATTCTTCCCGAATAACTAGGTTATTCAAACCACCCACAGTCGATCATACTTTGGAAGTAGGTATTGAGGCATGACTGTCATGAATGGGTCTGTAGTTTGTGTGGGACAAAGTGGCTGCAGTGTTTATGAGTACTCCTGGAATAAGATTCGAGTATTGGATTCAACCTACGCGCATCTGAATCACTTCATGGATTTTATCACGAGTGATTGTGAGACGATAATATCTTATATTCTTGAAACGGAGACGTGTGAGTTGTAGTTGCGAATCGGTTGCACATTGACATATGTAAACGCACCAGTAACTTGGAAGTTATAAAACATATCGTTGTGTGTAATTTTATGAGTAAGTAAAAGCGAGCATTTGGGTCGAATTTTATCCATTCCTTTTACCCTTGGAGGGATAAAAGTGATATCTCTGGGCCCCTTGATGATTTAGTGATGACAAACCTAAGTGCTTGGCCAAGCCTGGACTGATTTGATTTGTTCAATTAGTCGGTCGTCATAAATCGGAAATCAGGAAACAATAGATGGATAGAGAGAATGATTATAATCCATGTCTCAGTCCATATGATATCTAGAATGGAGGAATAAATGATCCTTTATCTAATAGACACGTCATTTGACTAGGTCAGAGTTCGACAGCGGCTTTAAGAGCTACGATTGCTAGTCAGGATCTTGGAGTCATACTTGAATAATAGTTTTAGACTTATCCAAGTGGGAGACTATTGGATTAGATGTCTAAGCCCATAACTATTATTGGTATGTACTCAACCCGAAAGTAACATGGTCCTTTTGGGTTGCATGGCATCAGAACAATTGGATAGACAAATGAGAAAAGGTTATTTATGATTTATACTAAAATATTATAAGTTCTAATATATTAATATGAAATAATATTATTTAATTAGTATTGATCAAGAATTAATTTGGAATTAATTTTGTGATCAAAAGAGACTAATTAAATATATGGGGAATGATTATGTAAATCATTCATTCTTATATATGTGGGCTTGTGATCCATAGTCCTTCATGTTGGGCTTAAACCATGTGGTAACCCTTGGATACTCCATGAGGTTAAAACCCATGGATCATGAAGGAAATGGAAAGTCATGCACATTTGGGTTTACATGGTGTAACCTTAAATGAGCCACACTATATAAAGGACCTCATGGTTCATGAAATGGCACTAATGGATACACAAAGAAGGAAAATTCGATTTCACAGAGTGAAGCAAATAACCTCTTCTCAAGTTATTCCAATTGGTGGTGGTGTTGTGTGATTCTGTTTGAGGTGCAATACTTGGGGCAGTAAGCTCTTAAAGGTTCAAGACTTCAAGCTCCATCAAAACGTATGTAATCTAAGTAGACTTTTGTAGTATAGATACTCCATTGTATGCTAGTTAGGATGATGCTCTGGGATTTTTGAATGGATTCATCTATAAGAGAGAAAACATAGATATAAAGCACATAGGGTTGTATGTACACCATAGGAGTGTTAGAATGCTCAAAACCCATCAAGAGTGTTGTAAGTCTGTGGGTGTAGTCGTAGCCTTCACTAACATCCATGTAGTGTAAGAAAGTGTTGTAAGTCTGCGGGTGTAGCCGTAGCATTCACTAGCATCCAGGTAGTGTGAGAAAGTGTTGTAAGTCTGCGGGTGTAGCCGTAGCATTCACTAGCAGCCAGATAGTGTGAGAAAGTGTTGTAATTCTGTGGGTGTAGCCACAACATTCACTAGCATCCAGATAGTGCTAAAGTGTTCTGAGACTCCGGGTGTAGCCGTAACATTCACTAGGTTGGTTGATAGCATGAGCGCGTTGTTAGGACGCGGAAGGAACAATGGTACCCACAAGTTCAGGTGCAGCAGTGAGGGCGTGGTAAATCCACAATTGGTTTACGGATTTACCTAGATGAATTAGACGTGTTTGAGCCATTGATAAGACCGTATGAACGTCACCACAGTTATGAGAACAGGGAAGCAATGGACCGTTTTAGGTCGTTTGTGATGTAAGGCTGCCATTGGTCAGGAAGCATTCACTTTTAGCATAGGGTTTTGGGTAACGTCAGGATCTGACGTATGTACCCGATTAGTTAGATCAGAAAATCGTTAGAGTCGCAGTGGCAAAATAATTAGTGGCAACTATTGATAGACAAGGATTTCATTCGGAAGTCGTGAGGGGCGACTGTGAGATGGCTCTTGGCTTTGCAACCGGGCATGACTCCAGCATTTCAGATGAGCCGGACCTAGTGAGGTTCCAGTGAATTTTATAAAGCAGCCATGTAGCTGCATACTGTTACAGACAGTTCAATGTTTCAGGCAGATCAGTGCTTCAGACAGTTTCGGCTCTCAAGCAGAAGGGGTAATTAAGGATTTCTTGTACGGTTAGAGTGACAAGTCACCCACAGCGGGATTATCCGAGCCTTGGCCAAGTATAAGTGATCTGCAGGGATAATTGGGTTTGGGATCCTGTTATATTGTGGGAACTTCGAGTTATCAGAAGTTGAGTAGTCAGTTGAGGGGTAAACATATTAGATTCAACGATAATGATTCAGTATGAGTGGTCTGTCAGGGATTCAGACCATCTCAAGACAACATATTTCAGACCGAGTAGATGTTATCTTGTTGTGAGGAATTCGTTCATCTGCGTATTTTAGGGCTTTGCGAACATTGGTCACGGCTACCCTGGGAAGGCTAGGGTGTGCTTAGGTTGGTGACCATGTTACCAGAGTGGTTTGGCATGAAAGTAATGGTAATGAATGATTTCGAGGACGAAATCTAATCTAAGTGGGGGAGAATTGTAACACCCCACTTATTAAATAAATAAATTAATTAATTAATGAAAGTATGGTAGCCCTAAAATCAATAATATTATATCAAGGGTTGGTCTCGAGGAGTTAACTGTCACAGCTTTAGAAATTTGTGGTTAAAAGTGTAAGTTTTGGGATTTATTTTGTAAAGATTTTAGAGGACAGGGGGTGTTTGGTATCATTTGGACCTAATATGAAAGGAATTATGGAAGCAAGAGATAAAATGTAAATTGTGGATTTATATTGTGAAGATTTATTGAATCAGGGGCTAAAGGGGTAAATATTGGATTAAATTTGAAAAGATTCTCATGGGGAGGGACTAAACTCGTCAATTGTTCAAAGATTTGCTTGGAGCAGGACTTTAACGCCATGTATCCCGTCCCTCCTGTTGCATTGCTTAAACTTAACCCTAGACCGTCAATTCCCCAGCCGCCACAACCCTTGGAACGTCTCCAGCCGCCGCCACCTTATCGCCCCTCATCCCTAGCCGATGTTGTCAACCACACCACCGCCGGATACCGTTGCTTGCACCACCATCACTTCTGTCGCCGACGAAGTCAAGGATGAAACCACAATCACCGTAAAGGCTGGATGAAGCGGGTGTGACGACCACTGTGGTCGTTTTCCGGTGGAGACGTGACCTCCATTTCCCACTGTATTCACCGCCATCCTTCCACCTATTGGCTTGCTGTCGGCACCTCCTCAACAGCCCTGTCTTCGGACATCTTGTGTAGCCGATAAAAGACCGCCAAGATTGATGTTGTGCTCGTGGGAATATCGGTCGAAATGGCTGCTGTTGGGTCTCGTCACTACTGCCGCCGCCACGCGGCTGTTTCATCGGGAGCTGCTGCCAAACGTCGTCGCCGCCGCATGCCACCGGGGAGGGACGACTGTGTTCGAGTTTTGCAACCGGGTGTGTGCTTTGCGTGTGTGTGTTAGTTTCAGCCAGCTGTTTGGTGCTAGTATGTGTTGTGTGTGTTTTTGTCTAGCCGGAAAATCAAGAAAATGCCACCACCACTGTGACATACCCATTTTCACGGCAGGAAAAGATCGATTTTGTTTATGCTTTATAAAAATCACAGTACCTCTTTTAGTGAAAATGTTGCGGAATTTGCTCCCAGTAAAACATGATAAATACGTTATCAAAGCATTTCCGAAGAAATGTATTTTTATTCATTTTAAAACATTTGGGATGTCATCGTCAATACAGAAACATAAGCATAAACAGATCTTACATTCATTTACACTAGTGATGTACATCTCTTTAATCTCAGTGTAATGTAACTTCGTATCGACACCTGTGATACAAATAAGCTTGAGTGGGTCAGGTTGGGAAACCCGATGAGTACATAGGGATTTCAATCCCACAATGTTATATCATATATATAATTTTGAACTCACAAAATATATAATTTCACCATATATATATATATATATATATATATATATATATATATATATATATATATATATATATATATATAAAAGCAACTCTTACCCCACCCCGTTAATCCTTACAACGAGACTATCCATACTCTCGGACCTTAAATTTTACCTCTTACTTAACCCATACTCTTAGATCTAATTCATGCTCTAGGATCAATAATTGTGCCCATTCTCGGATTAGGGACAAGTGTCTATGTGTAAATCCATTCTCCCGGATTAACGACGAATGACTATGTCCTATCCATACACCCGAACTGAGGACGACTGACTATGTCTTAATCCATACTGCCGGACTAAGGACAACTGACTATGTCTTAATCCATACTCCCGGATTAATGACAGTTGACTATGTCCAATCCATACTTTCGGACTAGGGACAATGACTATTTATAATCCATGCTCCTGGATCAATGACATATACTAAACTTCTATTCTCTGAGTATAACTCACTCGTACTCATCAGAAAATACTACCCAATATTCCTCATAATTAATTTAGGTTTACTCTTTATCCTAAATCATCATATATAATCAGGCATGTTCTTTAACATGTATTTCAAGCAACATCAATTAACTTGCACATAAACATATATTTAATACTTCAATCAATACTTGTATTAAAATCATGTTCATGAAAGGGACTATGCACTCACAACACGTAATTTATATTAAATACTTCATATCCGTGTGTAAGATGAAAGTAACTATGCACTCACCTGATAAGGTGGTGACTCGGTATTCGGACGGCACTTCGTTTACTTTAAACAACTCCTTTGACAAAACCTAGTATCATTACCACTAGAGTTTAGTCTAATGCTCGACGAGACTAATTAATAGTCTAACTATTATTACTATTATGTAAGCGTTAACACAATACTTTTCACCCACTATGTACAGACAGGGGCCAGACATGGAACACCAGAGGACATGATCATTTTGGCATATAGCACTTCTGAAATCCAGCAACCCAAGCGGCCCTCCAAACCAGATTCTCATTACCGCGAGTGGTTAAAAAGATATTATAACGACACTTATATAACTCATAATAATAGCCCAAATATTTTTGTTATAAGGTCCTAATAACATTATTATATTTAAATAAAAAATATATTTAAAATAGCGTAGACGTATCTTACCTATGAGGGGGTTTGACTAAAAGTCGGGCTCTTCAGGGGCAGAACTTCCGAGCCGAAAGATCTTCTTCTCGGAGCCGTCGAGCGCTTCGGGGATTTTTTCTACCGCTAGGGGAGTTTTGGGAGGTTTAGAGAGAGTGTAGAGAGAAGAAAGAATGAGAAAGGTGTGAAGAAAATGAGGGTGGGATAGGTTCTATTTATAGGGTGAAATATGGCTGAACTTGGTGCCACATGTCACCATCTGGTGGCAAGACTTGGGGAGAAAGCAATGGTCAAGATTATGCCACGTCACCCATTTTCGCACAACACACTTTCGACTTCTAAAATCCGTAACTTTTGCATATGAGCTTAGTTTTTGACGTTCTTTATATCCACGCGTAAGTAAAAATAAGATCTACAACTTTCATTTTGACTCCGTCGGATAATGCTCGACCGATCTTAAATTTAACAGTAGGATGAGATTATACTGTTAAATGACTGCGAAAAATTCGTAACTCTTTCATACGGACTCCGTTTTCGTCTGTCTTTTTATCATTGACTTCCTATTAATGAGATCTTCAACTCTCATTTAGGTCGCATAGCCAAAAACCGTTCGATCCAAAATTCAAGTTTCGGGTCGTGCACTTCTATGCTAAATCTTAGAAAATTCATAACTTCCTCATATGAAGTCAGATTTGGGCGTTCTTCTTATGCACACTCTCGGTTTAACGTATAATAAAACTTTTGTTTAGATCACTAAGGCCAAAAAGTCATCTATCGTAAATTCACTATTTACGTCTCCCAGTACCGTGCCGGTTTTGCCGTAAAACTTCGACGAGCCATAACTTCTTCGTTATAACTCGGATTTCGGCGTTCTTTATGTGTACGGAACCCCTGTAACATATACTACCACTTGGTTAAGATTACTCTTTCTAAATAATATTCCATCAATAACTTATTTTTGATGCTTATTGTCTCTAAATTGACTAACCCGAATCTGCGGGAGTTACAACAACCACCGTGAGGTGATGGCTGCTACCCTCTACCACCACCAGCCACCACAAGGTGGCTGTGTGTGTGTGTGTTTAGCATTAGTGTGTGTGTTTATTTTGGAGATTTTTATTGTAAATTGTATCAAAAAAGGAATATTGGAAAGAAACTCAAAACCACCACCGTGAGGTGGTGGTTGTCGCCTCCTGCCGCCACCGGCTGCGGTGTCGGGTGGCAGTGTGCCTTGTTTGGATTGTGACTCGTTTGGAATGTTTGGACAAAGTGACTAAAACCCTAATGGGCCTAATAAACCCTAGTGGGCCCAATGAAACCCTAATGGGCCCAATGAAGCCCTAATTGACCTAATAGCCCAAACATGTAACTAATGGGCCTAATGAACCCTAATTGATCAAAAGACATAGCTATTGGGCCTATTGGGCTAAGATGGGATTGGAAACCCTAACTAGAGTTTAGAAAACACTAATATTGGATTTATGGGCGTGGACTTATCGGGACCCACATTTGGGCCATGGGAATGGAACTGTGTATTAAGCCCAATAACACCATACGATTTATTTAGAAGAGTGATGGACTTAATGGATTAAGTCCTTAATGGGTTAAGTGAGAAACACTTAACCATAATTGTCATTTTATGTGAAACCATAATTTCACTTGGACTTTGAGTTGGGCCTTCCTATTGGGCCTTGGTGATTGAGATAATAATGGACCATCCAAGAGCAAATAAATGGACTAGAATAATTTAATGGACTTAGGGTAAGGCCCATGTAAGGGGTTTGGGCCCAATTTGGAAAATTGGGCCATAGATGGGCCATAGTTGGGCCTTGGTTCATTATTAAACTTTTGGGCCTTTTGATTGGGCCTTGGGCTTGAATCAAGCTAAAATAGGGGTAAAGCAGTCTTTTACCTCATGCATGGACTTATGGGTATATGTATTGGAACCCAATTATTAAATTGGGTGTTATTTTGATGTTGACAGATTCGGGAATCTGTCATTCATCAGCTAGGGTTTTATCAGCAGGACTTCAGCAGTATGAGGTGAGTTTTTCTCCAGTAGGAATGGGTTTAAGGCACCAATGCCGGCCCGTTTATGTAGTTGCAGTATGTCGGGGTAAGCCCGATGCAGTTTATATGTTTCCGGACTTCTGTCCGATGTCGGGGCGGTCTCGAGAAGTAGTTATGTATGCTTGATGTCTTTGTGATTCATGCATGTTTATGTTACGTGTTATATGTTTCGGACTTCGGTCCGACGCCGGTCAAGCCCTATGTACTATATGTGATTATGTTATATGTTTATGTTTATGTTATGTTCAGTTTATACCGGACTTCGGTCCGATGCTGGGCGGGGCCCAAGTTATTCCGGACTTCGGTCCGATGCCGGGCGTGACCCGATGCAGTGGGCGGGACCCAAGTTATTCTGGACTCTGGTTCGATGCCGGGCGGGGCCCAAGTTATGCCGGACTTCGGTCTGATGCCGGGCGGGGCCCGATGTAGTGGGCAAGGCCCAATATATGTTATATGTGTTATTGTATGGTATGTGGTAGTTTGGGGGGAGCTCACTAAGCTTCGTGCTTACAGTTTCAGTTTTGGTTTCAGGTACGTCTACTAGCAAATGGAATGGTTTGGGATGATCGCATGACACACACCACTGCTTTCAGCTTGGGATTGATTGAGATTGTGATATATTATGGATGATTGTAGTTTTGATAATGTTTTTCATACGAAATTTGCCTTGTATTTTTGGGATGTTTCAATATAGTTGTCAAGCGAGACAAAAGGTTCTTCACTTAATATGTAGTAGCTAAAATTTCATATATTAGTACCAAAGAATTTTAAGTTATGTTTTATTTTTTTTGAAGAAGTAAGATGTTTTTGCTTATAAGTATGGACACTATATGTTCATATATTGGCACCCGCTTAAACCCTTTAATGAAAAATATATTGTAATTTTATATGACGTAACTTTTGATATTCTGTCAAATACATAAAATGTGGTAATGTTACCATATTTAATTACCATGTTACCATATTTAAACCATCAATATATGATAACGAGTGTTCTAAATGGGATATCCTTCCTAATAAATAAAAGTTTTTTTGCCACATGTCAATCTCTCATGAGTTTTGACACTTGTCATTTTGTGGTATTTTTGAATTAAATATTATCCACTTGTCAATTTTTAGTTTGTTTCAAATTTTAACATTAAAGTCATATATACTTATATATGTAAAGTTTTAAATATCATATATATATATATATATATATATATATA